GGGACACTGAACTAAAATCATGGAACTCACACACAATTTTTTTTCTGGCTCTATAGGTTCCTCCCCTCCAGAGCCCAAATGATTAAGCAGAGAAGTTGAATGCTTTGAATTTATAGGATATAAGAAAGATGTGAAAGCTGTTGTGGTGAGTGATGGCATTTTTTGAGACAGAAGATGAAATTATACTTGAATAGTTAGCTGCATGCAAGTGGCAGGAGAGAGTACAGAGAACAGGTCATAGTTTGAATTTTATCTTTATGTCTCCTCCATTGTAATTTCCTCCTGACATTTGTCTGACTTGTGGGGAAGGAGCTTCATGCCTCATGTTTCAGTCGGTGTATTTGCCTTAAGGGAGGCTAAGACCACGGGGTGGACTCACTTCTCTGTCTCAGAAAAGTAGAGAGTCCCAATTCCCTTGAATTTTAGAAGCCTTAGCACCTGGAGCAAGCAGAAATCTAGTGGTTCCAGTGGAACGGCCTGGTGGCACGAGGTCTACCAGGATTCTGATGATAGTAAAAACTGAAAGCATCAGTATATCTCATGCAAACTTCCCCTGTTCCTGGAAAGAACTCTGGGGGATTCAGGAGGGTTGTGGTTCTGGTGATGCCCTGGGAGAGAGATGCAGTTCTGCTCTGGCTTAGGGGACAGTACTGGGCAGGGTTCCCAGAGCGGCTGCAGTGGAGTAGCACTGTAACACAGTACTCTTCCCCCAGGGGGTGCCACTGAGCTCATGCAGTGCAGAGCTCATGTGCAAAGACCCTCCAAGGGAAAAGGGCTTTGCTTATGTTTAGTATCAAACTCGAAGCCAGTTCTCCAGTGGAGGCAGCCCATCCCCTCCCTTTGAGTGGTCTCTTCTTTGTACCATTTATCTCAACACAGGAACTGTGATGTCTTTACTCACTCAACTTGGAACATCATTTTATTTATTCTCATGGTGCATGATTGATTTTTTTCCTATTGTTCTTTTTTTTCTAGTACCTGTACTTCACTATTTTCTACTAAATACCAGTTCCTTTTCCTCTTAGAAAACAAAACAAAACAAACAACAACTCATGTCCTAACCATTTTCCTTACTGAAGGGAGCTGGCATTTTATGACAAAATCCTCATTATATTTCTAAAGGAGGCTGGGGTGATTGGGATGTGGTGGCCTGCAGACATGGTTAATACTCAAAATTTTCTTTGACATTTTTCTCTTATCTCTTAAATGGGTATATATTCGTTTGTTTTTAAGTTGTGCTTATATTATTGAACTGATATATGGATTTTAAATCACAGAAAATGGAACATTTAGACAAATGAGTAAAATTTGAAATATACAACACTTTAAGATACCTTATCAATGATGATGATTAACTACTTTTACTAGCTAATATCTTCAAGTACTATGTACCCTTGAGGCAAAGTCCATCATTAATAATAGTAGAAGTAAATGTATATTATAATTGTTTCAGCTCACAGTGTGGTTGATAAAGAGATCACACTAGCTATAAAAGGGACAGGACTTCTATTTTTTGGTGTTGTGCTTATGCTTGCTTCGTGAGGATTCTCTGCAGTCTGCAATTTATTTGTAGGATTTTTTTTTTCAGCATCTCATCTCTTTCGTGTTGGCTCATGGCATAAAAACTAACCAGATCATCTAAAATCCACACAGATGGATAAGTGTACATTTCTGGTCTTGAAAGTCAATGTGCTGAAGGCGCATAATGAGTGAAATTGCCACTATGATGGCCCTGGGCCGTGGATTCAAACTCAGGACACCACCTACTACATATGACATGGGGCCATCTGATGTAGGCACTAAGTAAGGGTGTCATTGCCAACTTACACGTTAATTATAGTTCATATTAGTAACAGGATTTTTTATTATATTAGAAGTAAAAGTAAATGCAATGTTAAATAGTTTCCTTCTCCGTCCAGTGAATTACCTTGCACGCTCACTAGGGTATAAACACCCTACTGTGTGTGGGAACTACCATTAGTTTAGTGAATATGTCAGAGATTTCTAGTGATCTACTTGGAAACCCTAAATTAAGACAGTGCTTCCTGGAGTTAGATGTAGCCAAATGACCACATTCTGGCCCCTAGGTCAATGCAGATGGAAGTGACATGTGAACTGCCAGGTCATGCCCTTATAGGGCAGAGGCATGCTGTTTGTTGCCTCTTTACCCCTTTGTTTTGACTGGAAAGTTCTCAAGATGAATGGGGGTGGAACATTCATATCAGGCCTCATTATGAGACTAGAGAAAAAAAAAGTAGAAGTACCCAGGTTCCCAAGGATTGCAGAGCCATCACACAGCACTAGATCTCCTACCTGGAGAAGCTAAAATTCTGTCTTCTTCAATCCATTATTATCTGGGGGACTCTGCTCTAAGAGTGAACACATGTGACTAATGCAGTGAACCCTATTCATAGCCCACCAAACACTTATTCTTCCCATTTCTTGACAGTACTTCTCTCTCTCTCTCTCTCTCTCTCTCTCTCTCTCTCTCTCTCTCTGGCATATGCCTCTCCCACATATAAAAAATATGTCCTGAGATGATTCCACAAGAGGCCCCAGTTAGTCTGGAAGTGATTTTGTTGTCCTCATCCATGACATTTCCTCATCCAGACATGGGCAATGACCTACCTTGGTCAGTGGACTATGATGGGTATTCTGTGGGAAGGCTTGTCTGCAAGAGTTGAGGTCATGTTACCAGCCCACTGGGTAAAGAGGGGGTCACCTCTATTTTTTTGCTTTGTTTTGTTTTGAAATTTCATTCTACAGGAAACTATCACTTTGTGCCTGGGCTTTGGAAACCAAGATTTCCCTCTATCTATCCCCCTTCTAAATCCCCATTCCAAATATATATATATATATATTTTTTCTTTCATCATATTCTCCTATTTGTGGGAGGAACACTTCAGTGTTGAGTTCAACACTTCATGTTGAACTCAACTCTGAAGCCCCTACTGTACCTGCCATCCAACTTTTCCCCAAGACATTTGGCTTAGAACCGGTGAGGATAAGAGGGAAGGAGTAATTCAAGACACACCTGAAAGGGCCCCCTTTCATGTATTCCTGATGGCTGACTTGGTCCTGAAAGCTGTTGTTCATTAATCAGATTTCAAGTTTTTCTTAAATCCGATAAGATTCTAACTGGCCAATGACATTTTTCCTTTCTCATTAATTTTCTTGATAGAGCACAAAATTCTGATCTTCTCTTTTGGTGTTGTAGTGCATTATAAAAGTCTTACAAGCTGTATCTTCGTGCAGATGAGCTGGACTTTCTGTCTTCGTTCAGAATGCCTGCTCACAGTCCTCCTGCTCCCTCCCATATGTCCCTGACCCATCACTTGAGGGATTTACACCCATCTTTTGCAGCTCTCACAATTCCCCCGGAACATACTCCTGCTCCCCAGAGGTCCTTCTGCCAGTGGAGCATGCTCAGATCAAACTGATGAGAGCCTGGCATTGTGGCGTAGTCTCTGACAATGTACTTACAATGAATAATGAACCACCCAAACCTCTGAGACAGAAACCTTCAGAAGCCATGTTTATCCCTTATTGGGAAACATGTGTCTATATATCTTCATAGAGGTGACACAGTCCAGCTTCTCCAAAGCAATTTGTCACCTTAAGGAATGTTTTAGGATGCTCCTCCAAAATTCTTCTGAATATATAATCTACATATGAGAGCTTTATTAAAAAGTTCACATCTCTAAGAGCTCTATTAAAGAGTTTACATCTCTAAATACCTCCATCTGTTTGTGAAAAGTGTTGGGACTCTAGAGATGAAGCATACTTTTTAAATGAAAATTTAAATTGGGACAAATAATGTGACGGTTGTTTTATCATTTTTTTTCCTTGTCTTTTTTTAGCATGTGTATCTGATCATACTCTTTAAGCTTAACTTTGAAAACTACTGACTTTCTACCAAGTTGCCCTGGGTTATTCTGCTCTTGAGATATGATGTATGGGTCATTATTTGTCAATTTGTTTGGTCTCATATAAGTATAGTTACACTGTAAATCTTCCAGATTTCTTATTATCATTCCAATAGCAAATATATTAGAACTTCTAGTCTCAAACTTGTCATTAAGAGGTCTTTAATATCTCCTGTTACATCTCTTGTGCTTGACCTAGTACTCTATAAAATATTCCTTAAAGCTTAGATCTCTTCATCTGGCACTTGTAAGGATAATAGACTCTCTTGGGTGGACGAGTCTCCTTTAATTGTGTTTGGATTTGTTATGTATTGGTAAATCACTAAATATGAAGGTGCCTAAATTATTTCCTCAGAATCCTGCCCCAAACCCCAACTCTCTTCCTCTTGCTTCTCCCTTTTTTTTTCTCTTTTCCTCATTTAGCTTATTGACATGTGCTCCATAAACTCCTTGTTTACTACCATATACCCCAGGTTTAAAGTAGGCCTTTGTAGTTGAGTCATAGAGGCTGATTCTATTAGGGCGTTTTATGTAAGGGACCTGCATGCCTTTCATACAATACATGAAAGATAAAGGTGATTTGTGTCCTTCTGTCCAGGAACCTGGCATAGATTTTCATTTATTTGTGATGTTACTTTCCCTGACAGCCACACCAGTGTGAAGTTGCTAAAAAAAACCATTCTTTCAGGCTGGACCTACAGTGGTCACTTGGGGATGAGCTTGCAGTTTCAGATAGCACAGATGGTTCTGAATTAGGACTCTCACAGCAGTGCTATGCTACACAAAAATTCCGGGAACACAATTCAGTGAATGTAATGGCAGCTTAGAGGACTGATTAATAGCATAGATGTTACAGCCAGGCTGCCTGCATTTGTATTCTGACTCAGCCGCTTATAACTGTGGCTTTGGTCAGGGTTTTAGATTTCCATGGGCCTCAGTTTCCTCAACTTGGGAATGGTGTTAGTATCTACTTCATAGGGCTACAGGAATTAAGTGAGTTATTATATGTTATTGTTCACAAAAGAACAGAGTGAGCATAATACAACTGTTTCTCTTTTGATATGCTAGGACTACGTCCATCATCTCAATGGCCTGTGTCTCCATCTAGGATAGTGTGGTAATGAGGAAGAAGACTTATAAATACTATTGAAGGAATGCAAAGAGAGAGACTCAACAATATTCAGCTTCTGATGTGCTAGGATGATGCAAAATTGAGTAAGTTTGCAAACCAGGTTGCAAAGAACAAATTGTGCTAAGAACAAATTTACTAAATTCTGTTAGAAGCACCCACATACACATCTCACTTGTGACCTATCAGCCTTGGGGAATAGTAAATCCTAAAAATTTCCCATAGTGCAGAGAAGGATTTATTTCTGCCTTTAGTAGCTATTCTTTGAGGATTGATTTCCGATATAAAGAACAGAGAAGTCAGAAGAAGTATAAAAAGATTTGGCTCCCTTTCCATTCCAGGGATAGAAAGAACACTCTAGGAATAGAAGAGAGCCTGGCATTCAATGTGGGGACATTAAATTTGGGGTACCTGAGGGGAGCATTTGAAAGTAAGAGCAGTGTCAAGGACAGGCACTCCCATCTGGAACCTGATTTAAGATCCCAGGTTTCTGAGGTGCAGGAGTCTCCAGGACAAGATTAGGCAGCCCAGCCTAAATAATATAATGGAGCAGCAGTTTAGTCAGATAGAAAGCAGACATATAGGGCATTTCTAAGCCTTGGGAACCCAGAAGACTTGTGGTAAGGAAAACCAGCCCTACACTGAGGATGGAGTGCAGGAGAGGATTGTCCAGCCAGAGACTTGGATGAAGATTCTGGACATACTCAAAGATGGGTGTACAGCTGAGCTCAGGAAAATGTGGCTAATGATTCATGCAGACATGGCTCAAACCAAAAGAGTAGATCATCTGTTTTCCAGCTACAGACCGCAGACTGCAGTGCATATGTGTATATAAAATCTCCACATGTCTAGATAAAAACTGAAAACAGGTTTAGTCCAGGGAGGCAGCTGACCCCCACTTTCTGACTACCAATACCTGTCTATCTTTTTGTGCATCTATCTATCCATCAATTTATTTTAAGGAATTTGGCTAACGGCTGGGAAGAATGGCAAGTTTGAAGTCTGCAGAGTAGGCCAGCGGTCTGGGAACTGGAGAAGAGTTGCCATTTGAATCCAAAGTTGGTTTGCTTCTTTCAGGAAGGTCAATCTTTTTCTATTAAGACCTCCAGCTGACTGGATGAGTCCATCCACACTCTGGAGGGGACTCTACTCAAAAATCTACTGATTGAAGTGTTAATTTCATCTAAAAATGCCTTTACAGAACAATTTGAAACCAATATCAGGGCCCCATGGAACAGCCAACTTGACACACACAGTGTCATCACAGAACGCCAGACAACAGGAGTGAGGTAGGATAGAATAAATAAGAAGTAGAAAGGGGACATAAAGAAATGACAAGGAAATGAGATTTTAATTCAAAACTTCTACATTCTTTTCTAGTTCTTTGCCTCCCTAATCCAGTCTCTCTCTTCCAGCCCTGTTACTCCCAAATTCCTGTAAATTTACCCATGCACTGTTAATTAAATCCCCCAAAAGTTGATTAAGAGAGCTATAATATTTTTGAGAAGCCTAGAATTTAGGGAACTTTCCAGTGCCATCTATTGATCAGATCATGAAGACCGCTCTATTCTGAGAATTCTGAGACTGACCAGCCCCCATCAACCATCTTGAGATCACTAACTGATATAATTCATATATATATATATATTTTTTTTTTCTATACCCACCTTCACCTAGTTCTCTTTAAAAGAACTAAAAATACTCAAAATGTACCTCTAATCTCGAGATGGCCCACATTTCCCCTTGAGTGTATATCTTCTTTCCTAAATAAACTCCCCTGTGCCTCTGACTGGCATGTACTGAAATTTCTTTTCCATGATGCGTGCCAAGGACCTTATTGGTCCTGAGTTAAATTCCTTCTTGGCGGATGAGAGAGGCCTAGAAGCCAGTGAGTAAGTACATAGAGAGACAGAGACAGAGATCCAGTCCTATCTCCCCCACCCCTCTGACTGCCACCCAGATGCCACCTTGGGAAGGTTATCTGAGGGACTGACCTTTTTCTCCAAATACGGGTGACTACCTAAACGAACCATTCAAATCACAAAACTGATCTATGCAATGCATTAATGGTTAACCGACGAGTAGAGAGATTCTTTTTGAAAGGCAGATTATAGACAAAATAAAGAATTTATATTTTCTCTCCATATCTGAATTTGCAGTGTGAGTGAACTTAGTGACACTTCAGTTCAAGTTAAACCAACAGTTTAAATTTCTGTCTCCTTTTCGGTTTCCCTAGAAAATCATCAGATGTTGATATTCCGCAGCATGTAACATGGGATGTATTACTTATCTTGGTTTTGGTTGAAGACTATCAGCACAGAGCTCCTCTGCAGCCACTGGGAGCCATCTCCACCACATCTACCTTCCTATTTCAGAAGGAATCTAACTTAATTTAAAAAGACTGTGTTGGTAGGTTTAGTTATATTTTTTAAAATGCCCCCCAATGGTTATGAAGGAGGGAACAAGCACAGGTGATTTTTGAGGGCAGTGAAACTATTTTATATGTTACTAGAGTGGTGGATACATATTATAAATTTGTCAAATTTTATGGTATACAAATGCCACATTTTTTTATCCATTCATCCACTGAAGGGCATCTAGATTGGCTCCACAGTTCAGCTACTGTGAATTGTGCTGCTATAAACATTGATGTGGCTGTGTCCCTGTAGTATGCTGTTTTTAGGTCCTTTGGGTATAGTCTGAGAAGAGGAATAGCTGGGTCAAATGGTGGTTCCATTCCCAGATTTCCAAGGGATCTCCATACTGCTTTCCAAATTGGCTGCACCAATTTGCAGTCCCACCAGCATTACTTAGCACTAAAAAAGGACAAGATCATGGCATTTGCAGGTAAATGGATGATGTTAGAGAAGATTATGCTAAGTAAAGTTAGCCAATCCCCCCAAAATCAAATGCGGAATGTTTTCTCTGATATAAGGAGGGGGTGACTCAAAGTGGAGTTGGGAGGGAGAGCACGGGAGGAAGATTATCTCTAGATAGGGAAGAGGGTTGGGAGAGAAAGTGAGGGAGAAGGGGAAGAGCAAGGATGGTGGAAGGAGACGGTCATCATTATACAAAATACATGTATGAAGATTTGAATTTGGTGTCAACATACCTTATATACAAACAGAGATATGATAAATTATGGTATAAATGTGTATTAAGAATTGTAATGCAAAAAAAGAGTACATGTATAATGGCATAACTTGGCGTGAACATACTTTATATACAGAGTTATGAAAAATTGTGCTGTAAATGGGTAATAATGAGTGTAATGCATTCCACTATTGTCATGTATGTAAAAAATGAATTTAAAAAACTTATGGTATTATAGAACACAAAGAAGAATACGCATGTAAACTATAGACTTTGGCTGACAATGCTGTGGATTTGTCACGTGGCACGTACGTTGACATGGGGGAGACTGTGTTGGGTGTGGAGGGGGTACATGGGAACTTTGTGCTTGATGCTAAACTTTGCTGTTAACCTACAATTGCTCTAAATAATTAAGTTCATTTATTCAACTCAATTGAAAAAGAAATAAAACATCTACCCTCTTGTTGTTTCTTTCAGTAAATGTTGTGAAGACCAAAAGAATGGCCAGTATCTCAGAATATGTGGGGGGAAAAAAAACTTCCATGTCTAACAGGGATGTAAGTCAAAACAGCACTGGGATACCATTTTCACTTCAAACTGCTGAAGTTTAGATCTCTCCCACCATATTAAGAATGGGGAAATGGAAACTCTTATACAATGGTAGTACAACTGCAAAAGGCTAGAAACATTTAACTTACCTAAAACATTATTATAAAATTTAAAAAATTACTCATTGACTCATACACTGCTCAGGAATAAGATGTAAAGACATGTTGGTAACACTGTGTGAAATATATTCAAAATGATGTTTATTGAACCATTTATACATGCATATATTTATTAATCACATCATAATTATATATTACGTATACATATATATTTTTTTCTCTGCAGTGCTGGGGATCCAACACAGGACCTTTCACATACTAGATCTACTAATGAGCTACACCTCCAGCCCAGCCCTATTTTTTAATCATAAACACTGGAAACAACCATTAACAGAATAGTTGAATAAATTATTTTTGAGCCATTCTATAGAATATCCTACAGCTACATAAAACCATCAGTTTGATCTATTTGTAATCATGTGAAGAGATGCCTGTAATGTATTTTAAAGGAAAATGTATATTTCAGACTAGTGCATGTGGCGCAGTCTAGGAAAAAATGAAAGAAAGGAGACTACATATTTTTGTATTTGCCAATGCAGATAGAAGGAGGTAAAAGGATACAGAACATGCTGTTAACATTGATTACCTTGGGAATGAAGAAAAGGGGGGAAATTGCTGGCTCTTTCTTTATGTGCTGGAAGTTGTTTTGTTTTTATTGTTGCAACAAGTAGGTGCTACTTTTGTAGCTTGAAAAGAAAATTCAATAAATTTTAGTAGAGATAAAACAAAACAAAAGAGAAGCAGGATGATACGGCCTCAGGGTCAAACATCTATAGACAATCAGACCTTTTATACTGCCAAGAGTGACTGCCTCTTAGTATAGCTTTTGTGTATTACTATCCCAAGAAATCTGTTTCTTTTCTGTGCTCCGAGGGATGCTAAAAAAAATAAACCTTCTGCTGTCTGAGCCTAGTACATGGCTTGCTTCAGGATAAGACGTCTCTCAGTCAAGGCTCCGTAAGCGGGTGAAGAGAAAGATGTCTACTCCAATCCTGTCTCCATCCTGTCCTAAACTGGCATGTCTCCAGCTTATGAGGGGTGTAAAAGTAATGCCCCCCAAAGGAAGCTAAGACAGTGAGTAAAAAATTCTATTTAAAAAATACGTGCATCCAATCCAACATTAAACCTTGAACATATTACATTAGCCATCTAGTGATGCTGAAACTTACCATCTCAGAACAATAGTGAATATTTAGTATGTATTATAGTTTCTGTAGGTCAGGACATTGGGAGTGGTTTTGCTGGGTGATTCTGGCTCAGTCTCTTACCAAGGTCAAGGTTTTATCTGGGCTTATCTGACAGATTAAGGAGGGCTCCAGGTGACTCACCAGCATGGCTGATGAGTTAGAGCTGTTCATTATCAAGAGCCCTTCATTCCTACCAGGTATGCCTCTTCATAGGGCTGCTTAGTGTCCTCACGACATGGAGTTGATTCCCCCCAAACTCGAAGTGATCCAAGAAAACAAGGAAGAAGTCAAAACACCTTTATGACCCAGCCTTGAAAGTTACATGTCACCACTTTTGTATATTCTATTTACATAGAGCAAGTCACTAAGAAAAGACCATACTCCAGGGGAGGGGACATAGGTCCTATCTTTTGAAGGAAGGAATATCGGAGTTAGTGAATATAAAGTTATAACCATCACACAGTACACACTTTGCTCTATTATTTTCTCTATTTCAGGAATTTCTGAAAATTTCAGGTCCACTGATGCCACCTTTTCCTTCCTTTGGATATCTGTGAATCTTTTTTCATTCATTTTTTTCCTGGTACTAGGAATTAAAACTAGGGTTATTTTACCATCAATTTATACTCTAGTCCTTTTATTTATTTATTTTTATTTTAAAACAGAATCTTATGAAGATGCTGAGGGTCTTGCTAAGTTGCTGAGGCTGGGTTGCAGTCCTCCTGTCTCAGTCTCCTGAGTCACTGGAGTAACAGTTGAGCACCACTATGCCCAGGTGAAAGTCTTTTTCTTTTTTCTTAATAGATTTTTTTTTTTAACTTCATGGGATTTTGTTGAGCTGAGTTCTTCATTCCCTTTTTAAGGACCTGTACTTACTCTCATTTATCAGAACTCCACAGACTTCTGTAAAAATCTGTACTCTTACCTTTTCCCCAGATATTACAGATTCATCAGTATAATCATCCCCAAAGTCCATTGGAACTAATTTCATAATGGTCCACATCCCTGTCCTCATCAATCACCATAATACAATTGTCCCTTTGTTTCCACAGGGGATTGGTTCCAAAACCCCAGTGAATATCAAAATCCTCAGATGCTCAAGTCCCTTTTATGCAATGACATACATTTGCATATAACCTATGTGCATCTTCCTGTATATTTAAATCATCTCTAGATTACTTATAATATTGAATACAATGTAAATGCTGTATATGTCGTTCTTACACTGTATTGTTTAGGGAATAATGATGAGAATAAAGTTTTCACATGTTCAGTGCAGATGCAGCCATCATAGACCTAACTACACAGAAGAGGAACAAAATTCAAGGCAAACAATGCTCAAACAAGGAGTGCGGGAAAGAGTCTGAGGATCTGTGAAAAGGCAGGAGACTGTCACATCTGTGAAACGGCAGGAGGGTTCCCATCCATCCCTTCATTGTGTGCGCTCCATAGCGTGCTGTGCTCGGTGCATGGCAACTTCTAGTTTTGCATTTTGGAACTTCTGGTATTTTTCCAAGTATTTAAATCTATGGTTGGTTGAATCAGTGAATGTGGAACTCTTAGAAATGGAAGACCACTTGTGGATAGTAAGAGCTGACACTTCCAGAGCACTGACTCTCTACCAGGCACTATTTGAAATGCTTTATTGGAAAAACTTACTCTCCAACTCTTCTCAATCCCCCAATACTTTCTCTAGAGTATCTGTGGTCCCACGCTAGCAAGATCTCCAATACCTTTAACTTCTTTCCTTCCCTTCCCTTCACCTTTGGGCTCACACCAAACCCAGCTCTCCCCTGAGGCTGTTTCCTTTGCAGTCTTCTCCAATGGTAGCCTGTTGCCCCTCTTGCTCCTGGGCTTGAGGCCAGGGGAGCGCTTTGCTCCTCACTGTTGTTTGCAGTCTGTTTTCTCTCCTTTCTCAAAGACCTTTCAACTTTGAAGCTCCTGCTCTCACTGCTTGAACCTTATTTATTTATTTTTTTTTTGTAGTCACTCGTAGATACCCCTAGTTATTCTCTTCCATTTCTTGAATATTTTTGCCGCAGTCTGGCTGGGCACAAATGCCGCAGTCTGGCTGGGCACACAATCACGAGCCACCACACAGCTTGTAGATTCAAACAGCAACTCTATTCCCGAACTCACACCAGCCGTCTACAATCACGTTCTGGGGAAATCCACGTTCTCTGCCCAAATCCCCTCCACTGGGCTTCTGTCTCCCAAAATATATTGTCTGAATCCCGTGAGAACTCAAGGGGAACTCAGGCAGCAGGATACGCCCTATTCCCAGCAGGAATAATCTTAAACCTTAAACCTGGAACCTAAACTGGGAACGCCCTAAACACGATTATCTTAAAACCGGGAACACCCTAATCTGCCTTGGTCCTTGAGCAAGGTCACGTACATTCAATGTCACTGCAACATGGGGTACGCTGGCAAGGAAATTGTCATACCTACTTGGCTAATGGCTCCCAGCATATTTTAACTCCTAGATTACTACCACCAGTAAGGGAATGCCGGTGACATAATTCTTAGTGATTTTGATAACCGTGTCCACTATCCTTCCCAAACTCTGGCCCCTTCTTTTGTTGTATCACCCAATAATTGTTGTTTTCACTCCATTGCAACCTCCTGCTTCTATGATCAGACACTAGATCATTCCATTATCAATAACTATATCCCCTCTGAAATCTCCATGACAACCACTGAATGTCCTTCCAGTGCTCTCTCTCTCTCTTACTCTTCATTCTCCCAGGAAAGGACTTTATGACACAAAACACTTGGGTTCATTGATCCTAACACTGTTCCTACTCCCTTCCTGCCCTAAACTCTCCTTATCCAGCTTACACTCATGGTCCCTCATAAAAATAACTCTCTTGCATAGTCTCTATTCACTTGTGTCTCTTTCTTTTGCATTCACCTGGCAAACCTTTAACCAAGGCTAATTCCAAATTTCTAAGTAAAGACCAAACTCATAGCTTTGTACCTGCTTTACATCGGAAACAGTAGAACTGGCCACAGAACAACCACAGGTATTGATCTCACCCTGTGTTAAAGGTACTGACCCTCTGTGGGCTCAAGCACAGCGAGGCAAACCTACCATGTTTTTCTAGATAAAATTTGTTGCAGGTTAATCTCCTGGGGAGCCTTTTAAATAATTTTGATGTCCTGGCTCTAGTTTCCAGGCAAGTTCAATCATGATAGCAAGTAGATGGATCTAGACATTAGTTTAAAAAAAAATCCCCAGGGGATTCTAAGGTGCAGCCATACTTGAGAGCCACTTCCCTACTCCATTCACTCCTCCATGCTTCCAGAAGATTCAGTTCCACCCACAGCAGCTTTTTTTGCTATTCCTCCAGTGTGCTAAGTACACTTCTGCCATAAGTCTTTGAAGTGATTCTCTGGTTCTTCTAGAATGTTCTTTGATCATTCTGCATTGTTGGCTCCTTCATTCCTTGAAATTTCTGCTGCAAAGTGTTCTGATTGAAATACCTTCTTGAACTAGTCTGTATAAAATATGAATCCCCCTCTTAGCACTCTTCACTTTCTTTGCCTTAATTTGTCTTTTCTCCACATCTGAAATACCATATATTTGTCTGTTGAATATTTATTTTCTGTCTCTACCTATGAAA